TCTGGATACTAAAACAAACAAACAAACAGTATTATTCTTCCTTCGAAGTCGGAGTACATATGCCAGTGAGGCAGGGAACGGCAAAAGCCGTTGTACACACAAAACTCAGGTCCAGTTAAAAGCCAAAAGTCCAAATGGACGATCTACTGGGACCTTTCGCCGGAATTCACAGCCGGTGAACGAAGAAAAAGTATTCTTCTAAGACATCTCTTCTCAAAGTTGTCTTACTTTTTTTTTTTAATCAAGAGCTACTGTTGATTTCCAACTTTCGCATCCATGAGTTAGTAAAGGAATCACACAAGGGTTGAAGATCTTACGTTTTTGTGTTTGCTGAGTGTCTTTGACTTTCAGATGTTTTGACAGTTTGGAAAAGGCACTAGATGCCAGTGCAATTCTAAATGTTATTTCTATCCCTGAGTCCTCTGAGGATGTCATCTTACTCCCTAGGTATGTAAAACTGCCGACTTTTTCAAGAAAGTGATTGTTTAGAGAGTTCTCTAAACTATGGGTCATCATCATCATGTAGCAGGTCCTTTGCAGAACGTCGCTCTCATCACAGTCTGCCTGAAAGAAATTCGGTCTCTCGCCAGTTCTCCCGCCTCATGTACTTTCACACTCAAGGAGTCACTTATATCCTGTGCCCATCTTCGTGTCGGTCGGCCCCTGCCCCTCCTTCCTGGTACTTCTGCTATAACTTTTTCCAATCCGTCGTGGTGCTTGATATGACCAAAATATTTCAGCTTCCGAGACAGGATGCTATTAGCCAATCTTCTTGATGTTCAGATCTTTCAAGATGTCAGTATTTCTCCTCTTCCTTGTCCAAGAAATTCTGAGAATCTTTCTATAGTATTTCTGCTCAAAAGCTCCTATTCTCTTTCTTAAGGACTGACACACAACCGTATGTAGCCACAGTGAAAAACTATGGGTAAGATGAATAATTTTTGTTTTTGCTGTGCTAATTTGGAAACCACTTTGTCCTGAAATATTTTGGAGGTCTGTTTTCTTTTGGATATCTGGATGTGTTGAACTCAAAAGCACTATGTCGTCAGCAAAGTCAAGATCTAAAATTGTGTCAACCCATTTGATGTCCAAGTGTGTTGTTTGTGCATTTCCGCATGACCCAATCCACTGCTTTTCCAAAGAGCATCGACGATAGGACACAGCATTATTTTACTCCTGTTTCTACTGGAAACCAGTCAGATTTGCCGGGTTCTGTTCTGTTCTTTTTTTTAGCGCCACTGCACACAGTTATAAACCATAAGTGCTCTGCCACCAGTACAGACAGCTGATGAGAAACTGTCCGCCTGTGTCGCCGTCCGCAGGCAACTCTGTAGCTACAGCGACGTTCCTCCATTCACCCCAGAGTGTTAACTTTGGTACCTATTTCCTAGAAGCTGGGTGAGCCCCAGAAACCACCCGGTTTCGAAAACCACCCATGGGCTGCAGTGAGTAGCAGCTGGATTTGAAAGCGAGTCTTCTGTCGACTGTGCTAAAGCGGCTCCATTCTGTTATTGTGTATAAGGCAACCCTTACACACACAAAATTCCACCCACTTACAAGTATTCGAACCTGGGTTTCTTGACTGAGGGCCCAGAAATGTAACTGCTGCCAGGCGGTCTATAAAAATACAAGTCTTGCAGCATATGCCTGATAGGACGTTGACGTTGAAAAAAAATGTATTTTACTTGAGATTTCTTCTGGTTGTCCTGGTTGTTTGACCACATCTGGAGTCTTGTTCCAAAACTTGAGTGTTGTGTGCATATCCATTTTACAGATCTGGCTAATTTGTAGGCAGACTCTTGGTTGGTCCCTTGTCTCAGGCAGATGCACTCCTACTTTGAAGGAAGCACCCCTAATTAGTTGCCTTTTATGACATGCTTGCTAGGGGTGCAGTAGGTCTATTCTTGTTCCCCCGAAACCCACATGAATGGACTTAACTTTCTACTGCATGTATCTGCCACTTGTTTTGACGGTGTCAGACAGGGGAGGTAATCAGCTGGAGAATTTTTTAATAAAGCATAGCTTGTGCTGTCTCCATGAACTGTGCAGGTTAGGAACTGTATTTTTGCCCCACACAGAAGAAGAATATCTCTTACAGGGGATCGAACCTCAGTCTCTCACATGACATCCCAACCTACTTGGTCAGCCACTCAAACAGATAAAACCATTCTTTGGGTGAAAAAAAAGGGAGGGGGGGGGGGTGGTAGATTTTGAAGGTAGGCGAGCAAGAGATTGTGTGCGAGAGAGAGATGGTAACATCAATGGACTGACACAGTTGGACTGTTACTGGCTGTGGGTGGATAGGGGGGGGGGGGAGAGAGAGAGACAGAGAGAGAGAGAGAGAGAGAGAAAAAGAGAGAGAGAAAGAGATAGAGAGAGATAGAGAGACAGACAGACAGAGAGAGAGAGAGAGAAAGAGAGAGAGAGACAGAGAGAGAGACACAGAGAGAGAGAGTGAGAGAGAGAGACAGAGAGAGAGAGACAGACAGACAGAGACAAAGAGAGAGAGAGAGAGAGAGAGAGAGAGAGAGAGATGGGAGAGAGAGAGAGAGACCGACAGACAGACAGAGAGAGAGAGAGAGACAGACAGACACAAAGAGAGAGAGAGAGAGAGAGACAGACAGACAGACAGACATAGAGAGAGAGAGAGAGAGAGAGAGAGAGAGAGAGAGAGAGAGAGAGAGAGAGAGAGACAGACAGAGACAAAGAGAGAGAGAGAGAGATGGGAGAGAGTGAGAGAGATAGAGACAGACAGACAGACAGAGACAAAGAGAGAGAGAGAGAGAGAGAGAGAAAGAGAGAGAGAAAGAGAGAGAGAGAAACAAATTGACAATGACTTGGACTGTCAGGCCAGCAATAACAAATATAAAAAAAATCTTATATTCCGGATTTGCTTTTATTATTATAGATTTCTACAGTATACAAACATCCAAATAAACAGATTGAACTGTCCTAGGTCCAAAACAAAAGAAACACTCCACCAATATCTTAATTCCATTATTAAAGATGTATTCCTATTTGCCATACCACAGCAATGTAAACATTGGCAGCACCCCCTTTCTAAAAAAAAAAACACATTTTGGTAACAATTTTTACCAACAAATGAATTAACACTAAAAAACAGTATACAAGAGCATCCAACCGCAAAAGACTACACAGATCTTACAAGTCTATCAAAATACACATATAATGGATATTTGGTGTAGTGAGATAATTCTCCTCGAAAGTGTATAATCCTTTTTAATAAACAAAAATGGTTTATATTCATTTTAATCAAATGTCTCAAATTGTAAAATACAGGTGTATGCAACAAACTCTTGTAGCAGATAATCAAAAATAAAGTTTGTGAAAAAAATATATTACTGTAAAAGGAAGGAGTTGTCATGTTGTAAACCAACCCTGGCATTTGATGGTTTAACCAGGCCATTTTTACATTTAGCAGTTTGCAATTGTGTTCTGAAAGATTTGGCACTCACACCATTGTCAAAATTGACGCAAAGTAACAACCGTCAAATCATCTGCAGCGAAGTCATGGTATTCAATATGGCCAGCAGCCGGTTTACATGTGGGCTGGCGAAATACCTTATGTAACAATTTTACGTGCGTATAGCCAACTTGTCGTGACTGACTACTTTCATCAATGGCAAACTCCAGTTCTGGTGGTGACTGTTGGCTCTAAACTGTTCCTGGACTAATTGTTCACCAGGTTTTCAATTGGGACAGTGAGGGACATTCAATTTGATTTTCATTGGCACGGGAACCAAAAAAGTACAGGTTGACCCGACTGCCACAAAGTTTAAACCTCTTCTAAGATCTATGATTGCATCCCTCATCTACGATTCGTACTCCTCCCTCCAGGGCTGCATTCCCTCATCTATGATTACAATTCCTCTCACTCTGGTTTAAATTGAACCACCGAATATGATACTCCAAATCTTGTTTAAAAAAGCATGTCTTATCATCTACAACACAGAACCAACAAGTAGGTTTCAAGTATGACCTCTACCTAAGTTTGACAATAAAAAAGTATCCACAAACACAAGAAAATACCACTAATCCAGGTCTTCATATTAAAGATTTACTTCTGTTAAATGAACACACAAAACGACATTAAAAATGCACACAGAAAAATAACGTTTCTCTAACTGTGGAGGTACCATATATACAGAGACAAGGTGATACTTACTAAAAATTAGTTCAGGTACAGAAAGAAAAACAAAATACAGAAGAAAAAAAAATGTAATACATCAGGTTAAATTTTCATCTTCCTTAAGTGCCTTGTCGACTGGCATGGGTGATCATGTTGTTCTACAACCCTCGCTCTCTAGTGTTTTACATCAACTCAAACAAAAAAGACATTTCTCCCTGGCATCCTTTATATAGTTTTCATTAATCTTACTAGGTATTACAATTCTACCTGTGTTCTTTTCATGTTAAATTTAAATATCAAAATAATGCATGAAAAAATACGCATTAAAAAGTAACAACATCTTATTAAAGTTAATATCAAAACTGACGATACAATGAAAACTTACAAGCAAAATCTACAACTGCTGTTACAATTTAATGATGCAAAATAGATTTGTATATAAGGGTAAGACGTTTGAACGAGTATTGTAACAAAGCATCCAGTACTGTAGTATGCGTGCAGTGTGAGCGTTTCACAAGCCCAGCAAACTGATCATAGTAAAATCTCACCACAGATAGACATATATTGATATTTGATGTTCTGCACCAAAACTGATGTTTTGTACTTAACTGATGTCAGTTCTAAAATCCTTTCACTGGATCAGCTAGTACCAAACCATTTTCAAATTGCACATTTTACTTATGAACCCTACCAATGCACATCTGTGAATAAATTTATTGAGGGAGAAGAATTTAAAAAAAAAAATCCAGCTTAACAACACACTATAGATTGGTTCAATCCTGCATGCTATTTGTTAAAGCTAATACAAAACAAAACAGAAAACACAAACTGGATAGCAGTGGGCGGTCTTCTAGTAGGAATGGTTGGCCACAAAGAGAGACTGACCACCAGCAGCTCCAGCTGCTCCTCCTTGGTATTCACCGACAGCTGCAGCTCCATTTGCCTGAAAGGGATGTTGAAATCATCAAACATGAGAGTTGAATTACCATGGTGCCTCACTATACATCTGCTTTCTAATAAGTCCCACCTGGTATACATCCTGTTATAAACTGGAAGTGGTGAAGGCTGTTTGGCATCAAATGGACAGTGAAATAGGACAGATCGTCCATACACTGAAATAATAATTCAATCCGGAAGAATAAATGGGACAAGGGGTGTGGTAGGGGGTCCGGAAGATATTCAACACTGTGGGTGAAACATAGGCAGATTGTTAAACAGGCTGCACCTGGTACTACTATCAGCATGTCAACTCTCTGTTGGCTACTGAGGAAGGTAAAGGAGCACGCCCAATGTCCAGTGATGACTGCCAAACTGCCTTTATTTTACCACTTTTGCAGTGTCGGCAAGGTGGTCTTTGAGCCTAAAGATTTACGGCCCCATGGCTAGTGCTGTCACCACCACTGTGCAGGGGAAGAATTTTATGTGTGTCCACAACAGAAAAAAAATCTCCAGCCTTACTGGGAACCCAGCGTTCTAACCGTTCGGCCAGCCGCTCCTCTCTACTACTAACAACTGTAGAAAATCTAAAACTTCTTCTGCGTTCATCCGAAGATGTAATTGTGTTGTGTCTGTTTACAACATGGCAGCGATATTTGCACCTTTCAGCCAACATATCCGACTTCTGTGGGCATTTATTGACCGGGTTAGCCTTCCCAGTGAAAATCTGAAACTATTTATTACCTTTTTTTTTTGGATGAGAAGAATCAAAACTGGAAAACCCCCGTGTGGGTTCCGGGGCCCCATTGTGGGGAAAACAATAGACCCACTGCCTCCCCAAAAGCATGTCGTAAGAGTCGACTAATTGGGGAGCTTCCTTTGAAGTCGGAGTGCATCTGCCGGAGAGGCAAGGAACCAACAGTCTGTATTCAAGAGAATGAGATCTGTAAAACTGATGCACACGCAACACTCAGGTTCTCTAGCAGGACTGCAGTTCAGTAGTGGACGAGCAACCAGAACCTTCCGCCAGAGTTTACAGCTGGTGAACGCGAAGAAGAAGAAGAAAAGAATAGTAGAATAGCTGGAAAGGGAGGAGAGGCAGAAGGACAGCAAAAGAACAGATGCTGGGCAGTCTGACATCACGGCATGGAGGATCATCTGTGTCAGAGCTGACTGAAAATACACGAGACAGAAGGTTGTGGACAGATATGACTATCAATGCCACATGGCATCGATTTTTAAGAAGAATTCTGAACGTGTCGAGCATCATAGCGGCCTGGATAAAACGGTGATGAAGGCTGCAGACTGTAGAAAGTGAGGCACAGGACAGTTTTGTTTCAGGCCCCAGGAAATGCATTCCATTTAATGCCTCACACTGGTCTTGTTTATTTATTACTCCCTGCAGACATTTTCGAGGCAAAGACACTGAAGATGCATTTTTTATGAACAAATGCCTTAGGAATCATCTAGAGAAAGACAAACTTATTTTTCTGTGCGTGCCGTGAAGAGAATGACATTCTATAAAGTATATTCTGACTGACTGAGGTCTTACCCTGGCTCGTTTTAACAGTTCTTCCTGGGCAGCCTTAATGTTCGCATCCTTGCCTCCCCAAGCCTTGATGACACTAGCCTGTAGAGCACGGCCGTAGGAGAAGGTGAGTGGCCAGGGCTTGCGTCCTGGGTACTGGTTGATGGCGTTCAAGTTAAGGGTTGCATCCTCTTCCGACTGGCCTCCAGATAGGAAAGTGATACCTAAACAAACAATACAACATTTATAATAACAAATAATTCAGCACGTTTAAAACAATTTTCTTTTTAAATGCAAACTTTACAAAATTCCTTTCCAAAAAAAATCAATTCAACATTATATATTAAAAAGGCAGAACAGCTGACGAGAGACCGAGTTTCTTTCAGGCAGACCGTGATGACAAAAGTCCTGTGACATACATTATGATGAAATCTCATTTCTAAATGAAAGATTATACTAATTTCCCGAAATTCCCTGTCCTTAAACAGGTGACTGCCTGGCTGTCCTGTGGTTTACAGGTAAGCTGCGATATATCTGCCTTTCAGTTCAAAACATCCGATTTCAACAAAACTAATTAGTCACTTTTTTACAACATGCTCGTTAGGGTGGCAGAATATCTGATCTCTCTCCCACCTCTTTTTTCCAGGAAGCCGAGCACAAACACAGACTTCTAGCTGAGTGATGTGTTCAAAAAAAGTAACAAAGCAGCAGTAGCAGGAGAAGTATAGTGGTAGTGGTGGTAGTAGTAGTAGCAGCAACAGCAGTAGTAGTGGTGGTAGTAGTAGTGGTGGTAACAGTAGTGGGCAATGGTCAGTCCTAGGGACCATGCAGTTGTGCTGCTGGTGTGGGGAACAGCATCTGCTATGACTGTTGTCCAGTGTTGCCACTTTGGATATTTTACATCCAGATCTAGATGTTTTCCCTTTTATCTAGATGCTATGTTTGACGTCTAGATGGTAGATGCAATTCTAGATGTTTTTACATATGGAGTTAGATATTTTTTATATTTTTTTTTCTTTTGGTGTCAGTTTAATAATTTCTGTATAAAATATTGATCACAATTTTTTTGTTTTGATCTGTGCGTGTACCCAATGGTAACTGTGATTATTTAAACTTTGAATTCTACCTGGAGTCAACCAACGCTCAACAATCTGGCAGCCCACGGTACTGATTAAGAGTGCAGGTAAATCATACTAACTTTGCTTGAACTGTATCCTGTGTTGTGAATTATAGCTGTGATGCTGACTTTGTAGCTATGTAATTTGTGACTGTTTTTATTTAGACTATTTTTCTAGATGTTTCCCTGTGCAAATCTAGATATATCTAGATATATTTTTTTTATCCATTTCTAGATGTTTTCTGTCAAAAGTGGCAACACTAGTCAAGTCCAATACGGAAATAGCAGTCTATGCTACACAGTCCACACACACACATAAATAACACTAGACTGAGGCTGGCTTTCTCTCAAGACCTCTCCTCTCTATAGCTTGCTGCATTTGGTCTCTGGCAAAGTGTGACAGTAACACATTACGAAAGACTGGGAGATGGCTAAAAGCAGAACCAAAAGCCTTACCTGCAACAGCAGGCGGTACAGTTCTGTTCAAAGCTTCCACTGTAGCCCTGGCAATATCCTGGGAAGTGTATTTTTTAGTGCAGCTCTGTCCAGCTGTTACCATGTTAGGCTTCAGAAGAGTCCCCTCTAAGAAGACGTGATGGTCAGCCAGAGCCTTGTACTGGAAAGCCAACACCTGTTGAAATTGAAACACAAAAAATAACATATAGATAGGCACATTTTAATGAATCAAATGGGATTGAAGCTGGAAGAATACCTGGAGAAATGAATAAACTAATATGATGAAATCAAGAAAGGTGAAGAAATAAGAGAAATGTCTTGGCAACAACTAGTATCATTATCATCATCTTCTTAAACCACGTTTCCCGTTAAGCATTATGGGGAGGAATAATTTGCAATTCAGTGCACGCTGGCTGCCACTGGCTACTGTGATGCCATGAAGGCACAGAGTGTCTTTAATGTTGTCAATCCATATTTTTGTGGTGGTCCTCTCGCTCTTGTGGCTGATCTTCTGCGATGTAGTGCATATGATGGTATCTGATCTTGCTGCATTCTAACGAGATTACAAAACCACTTCTGCTTTTTCTCGATGAATCTTCTAAAAGGTGTTGTTCCCACAGTTTGTCTGATACTCAATTTTGGATAGTGAGCTTGGCGGCTATTCTTAGGCATCTCATCTCGCAAGTGGTGATTTTGCTAGTATCAACAGTTTTTAAACAAAGATGATGACAATATCTTGGGCACATTTTGAGGAGAATTAGACAGAGAATTCCTAAGTAGGCAACAAATGGAATGAGTAAGTAAGGAGGCCAGAAAGACACCCTAAGATAAATGCTGATGACAGATGATAGATTGTATCCATGATACTGAAACAACTACCCAGGACAGAATGGAATGGAAAAACAAACTTTAAGTCCTATGTGATATGGGAGCCACCTTGGTGTAGCAGCCAGACACAGGTCTGTGCATTCAAAAGTGTAACCTTTTTCTTCGTCAAAAACAACCTTCGGTGCCAGATTGACCCAGGCTTAAATGGACAGCAGGTGAAGTCCTGGGAAGTAAAGGTGGCCGGCATGATGTTGACCATATCACCCACCAAGTGCCAATTGGTCTATAAAACACAGGTCTAGATCTATATGCCCAATACACCTGAAGACATGGAAAAGGGTCATATATACCTTAGAATGGCACAACAGGGTGAACCTGGACAGAAAAGCTAACCAAAGGCTGCACCGAATGGAAGTTGGTCATCGTAAGCTCATCGTGTGAAGTAAGTGCTTTCAGAACTTGCTGTGATCAAACTGAGGTTCTGTTTAGAAACTGAGACATTCTGTTTGAACCTAAAAGGAAGTACTTTGAGAACCGCGGTTCTGCTGTATAGTGTTCAGAAATTAAGAATATTGTCCCTTACAGGCAATCAAGAACACTGTCTCTGTTACAACCAATTAAGAATATCTTCCTAACAGCTAATTCAGAATATTATCTCTGTTACAGCTGATCCAGAAGATTATCTTACAGCCAATCCAGAAGATTATCCTTGTTACAGCTGATCCAGAAGATTATCTTTGTTACAGCTGATCCAGAAGATTATCTCTGTTACAGCTGATCCAGAAGATTATCTTTGTTACAGCTGATCCAGAAGATTATCTTTGTTACAGCTGATCCAGAAGATTATCTTTGTTACAGATGATCCAGAAGATTATCTCTGTTACAGCTGATCCAGAAGATTATCTCTGTTACAGCTGATCCAGAAGATTATCTCTGTTACAGCTGATCCAGAAGATTATCTTTGTTACAGCTGATCCAGAAGATTATCTTTGTTACAGCTGATTCAGAAGATTATCTCTGTTACAGCTGATCCAGAAGATTATCTCTGTTACAGCTGATCCAGAAGATTATCTCTGTTACAGCTGATCCAGAAAATTATCTCTGTTACAGCTGATTATCTTACAGCCAATTCAGAAGATTATCTTTGTTACAGCTGATCCAGAAGATTATCTTACAGCCAATCCAGAAGATTATCTCTGTTACAGCCAATCCAGAAGATTTTCTCTGTTACAGCCCATCTAGAAGATTATCTCTGTTACAAGCTGATGCAGAAAACTGTCTCTGTTACATCCAATGAGAATGCAACTAAGAAAGTTGGCCCAGATCTGTTAGCAAGCAACACATGTCCTCATTCATCATATCATCATCATCATCATTATTACCGCCACTGTCATGGGCTGATAGTTTAAGACACTGCTACTCAACTGGTGGCCCAAGGGCTAAATCTGGCCCGCGAGATCTAGCAAGCAGCCTGCGGATCATTGCCAAATGTAATGTATCAGTGATCTTCCTATGCTGTGGCTTGGGCCTCTGGCTTACGACAATCCTTATTTTCAACATTCTGGGCCAAGTAAACCTAGCTGAATAGTCCTGCTTCAAGGGAAGTAATACATGGTCTCCGGGATTTACGACCAAGTTCCGTTCCAACCAACAGGTGGTAAGTCAAATTTATATCTTTTCAACATTATTTTTTTCTATTCCAAATGGTTATACAAATTGTACATAAAACACAAAAATCTTATCTGTATGCAAATAATTATTGTATATAATAAGGAAAATATTCAGAATGTGGGCTCTCCTTTAAACTACGGCCAGTTAGTCGGAGTTCAGTCCTTTGGCTGCAGTGCAATTACGGAGTGGAAAAAGGGAACGAAACAAATGACATAATTGCTGTGTGTTGGCGATAGACAGCATGCAGTGCCCTGCTGTCATCATACGGCTAGAATTTGGGTTAGGGTTACAGTTAGGGTTTGGTTTAGGGTTAGGGGTATGGTTTGGGCTAGGGTTTGGGTTAGGCGCTACCGACATAGGACGGTTGCACGAGGCACATACCTGCAAGTTCCTTATAACTCTATGCTCAGCTAGCCACCACAACCATGCAAGCTTATCGCTCATTAAGGCATACAGATCCAGAGGTGTCACATCTACGGCCACTAAGTCTTGCGTCGCAAGAACGCGGTCGCTAATGTGAGTCGCAGCGCATGGTCTAGCTCTAGCAGCCATGTCGACGGCACTTTGTTTTGTGATTCGTGCCTTCTCCACTCTGTAATTGCACTGTAGCCAGGGGACTGAACTCCGACTAACCGGCCGTAGTTTAAAGGAGAACCAGAATATGTACTATATCAACGCTATGCTATCAGTGTCAAGCATGGACACAGTCTTCAGAAGACATAAGGAAAACAGTCAGCACAGAAATGAAATGTTTATACACTATGCTACATGCAATTAGGAATGATGATATCAGGAAGAGAGTTGGCACAGAACCAATACTGAACTTTATAGGTAGACAACAAGGCAAATGGTTTGACCATGTAACATGATTGGCATCAGACAGGGCACCACAGACAGCAATGTTATACAGACACAACGGTAACAGACCCAGAGGTTATCCATGGAGAAAATGGACCATAGAAATATCAGAGACACTGAATACACTATACGAAGCCCAAAGAAAGGCCTATTACAGAGATCTCTTCCTGCCCTGATGCCGCAATACAAAAGGAAAGAGGGGCTTTCATAGCACTAGGGAATTTGTGGAGGTCAAAAGAAATTAAAAGAAATACTAAACTAAAAAAATTTTAATTCTAATGTCAAATCAGTACTATTGTATGGGGCGGAAACATGGAGAACAACCAAGGCAATTACTAATAAATTACAGACATTCATTAACTGGTGCCTGTGCAGAATAGAGGGAATAAAATGGTATGATAGAATAACTAATGTAGAACTTTGGGAGAGAACTAAACAGGCTCCAGTGGATCAGGAAGTGAGGAAAAGACGCTGGATAGGGCACACACTGAGAAAACAGGAGAACAGCATAACTAGAATGTCTTTGCATTGGAACCCACAGGGGCATAGGAATAAAGGAAGGCCAAAAAACACATGTAGAAGAGAGCTGGAGAACGAGGTTAGAAAGATTGGGAGGACATTGGAAGAGCTCCATGCAATGGCGAAGGATAGAACGACTTGGCGTGAGTTGGTTGAGGGCCTATGCTCCATTGGGGGATAGAAAGGCAGAAGAAGAAGAAGAAGAATCCAGGAATAGAGAAAAGAAAAAAAAAATAAGTACTCTACTGCATCAGTTCTGGGAAACTATTTTTTACAATTATTTTTCTGTGCGGGTGGTCGGGTCGTAAGTCCAGGAGATAGTGTATAAGGAAAACTAGAGCAGACAAAAGTGACTGAACTGGCACTATCAGTGTATGACAACGATGATTATAATGAGAGGTCGAGTCGCTGACCATCATCATCACCAGGAACACCATATTAGGAACACCAATACTCACTTCTTCTGTGACTCGCTGTGCAGTCTGGAGGTCATGGGTACCATCCGGAAGCACCTCGGGTTCTACAATAGGCACCAATCCATTCTGCCGACAGCAAACAAAATTGAAAAATTATTAAGAAAATTTACAATTTAAAAAAACAAATTTACTGTCACTCACAGACACACAATTTATGGTACACAAAGTATCACCACCATCATCAAGCTGACTGGCGTAGGCGATAATGCCTTTCAACAATCAGCAACTGCAAGTATCAGTTCGTGTATTGACACCCCTCTCTGCCATGACAAAAGGCTGCCAAGAATCTTCTCACGCTGTCTTCCTCTGCCTTTCTTTCCATAGATCTTTCCAGTAGTAGCAACATGTTTCAGTTTCCTTCTCATAATGTGACTAATCAATGATGAATGTCTCTTTTTGATGTTTGTAATAAGTTGTCTTCGAGCACTTGCCTTTCTTTTCCAAAACATCTGGTTTGCTCTTTTTGCTGTCCAATAAATTCTAAGGATTCTTCTGTACAACCACAACTCTCAGGCCTCAAGAAATATGGAAAGTATACACATGCATAAATAACTTAACTTCTTTAATCCAAAATTTTAAAGACCACATTTTTTTTTCTTTAGAACAGACAACAGGACAAGACTTGGACAGAAATGAGACAGAAACTACATACTTCCCATACATCCCTTTTATTTATATCTTTTCCCCGTATGGGTTCCAGGGCCATATTGTGAGGAAGCAAAAATGTACCCACTGCCTACCCAAAGTACATCGTAAAGAGTCGACTAAATGGGAGCCTCCTTTGAAGCCGGACTTCATCTGCCTGAGGCAAGGAACCAACAGTCTGCATAAAAATCAATCAGATCTGTAAAACTGATGTACACGCAACATTCAGTTTCTAGATCAGGGCCTGAGTCTAGAAGCGGACCAACAAACTGAACCTTCCGCCAGAGTTTACACCTCGTGGATGCGAAAAAATTTATATCTACTCTCTCCTCTTCTGTATTTGCTTTTAAAAGGATGACTGACACTGTATTGTGGTTCACTTTTCAGTTAAAACATCTGCTTTAGTAAACCCTTACTCTGTCGCCTCTCAAGACATCCTTCTTAGAGGACAGCAGGTCTATTCTTTTTTTTTTGTTCTTTCATCAAATGGAGTCCCAGAACCCAGATGGGCATTTTATTAAAATAAAAATGGGCATGTATTCATGTAAAAAGGTCAAATGGCCTCTCAAAAACAATATGTGTCTCATTAGAGGGGAAGATGAGAAGAAGCTGACCAAGAAAGACTTGGATACAGAACTTGACTGATTGGACCAGCCTTAGCCATGCAATCATGAAGTCCATTGCAACCATCAAAGGTGAAGGGGGCTGATTGGTCAAAAGCAACTGATGACCCAAAGACATGCAGTGTTACAGATAATGACAGGCATGTATTTATTTATCTTCAGAAAGAATATCAAATCAGGGTAAGATACCACGAAACAGAGACCCCAAACAAGAAAGATCACGACACAGACCTCTATAGAATTTCCTATGGTGTCATTTGCTTCCCTTATGTGTGTGTTTGTGTGTATGTAAAGTCTTGATTTATTTTATACATTATTCCATACTTCTTTTGTGCATGTCGCCAGACTCACCCAATTTCAGCAAACCCCTATCTAATAGGTCACCTTTTTTTTTAATGAGGGCAGTGTGTCAATTCTTCCCTCCCCCTCTTTCCAAATCCACACAGAGAGATAATGCAAGGCACAACAAGTGAACCTACCTGCTGGCAGATGCTGGCGTAGCGTGCAAGCACATTGGCATTCTCAATCATGGCCTGGTACGAGGGGGTGTGATCGGAGATCTTCAAGACACACCGCCACTTGGCAAAACCGCAGCCTCCTTTCTTGTACTCAGCACAACGCTCTGAGAGTCCATCCAGGCCTGGCAACACAAATATTCACAAATTCATGAGAACAAATATCTTAGCCACAATGAGGGTTCTTACCAAGTGATGAATGAACATGGCTGTCTACAGTCCTTTTTTTTGGGGTCAAACGACTCTTTCACGGGGAGGGGGGGAGGTGCCAAAGGCCATCAGAAAATACATATATCACTGAAGTTATGAAGTTCCAACAACAACAAAACTGTATGGCTGGGAGTCACCACAAACAACATGAAGCAACTGTATTGAAGGGTCGTCACATTAGGGAGGTTGAGAGTCACCTGTATAGGTTAGTTAGTCTTTCCTCTTGAGCCTATAGCGGTGAAGACGTCACAGCTCTTCATGTGTGGCAGTTCGTTACCATCTGATTTACACAAGTAAACCCAGAACTATCCATTCGCTCCCAAGCTTCGGACTAGAATGCCTAACTATATTATACACTGAGTAATAATAACCTGTTCAAAAATTTTCTCGTTTAGCTCATGAAAGCTCGTAACAAGTGGAACTTTTACTCCGCATATTTCTTGCCTGAGATTTGACAGCCACGCAATTCTCACCAAGTTCGGGTCATTCTTACGAGGGTACTCGCCCCCTTCACTTAAATTTCATGAGTCTGATACTATTCAACATGCAGCGTCCATGGCTTTGGCGTTATATGAGTCCAACTCGTAAATCCAACGTACCGCCATCGAAACCCACTGCTGGCTGCGTGGATTTTTATCATGGTATGGGGCGTCGCAGGTCGACCCAGACTTAAATGGGTACCAGGATGTATATCCTAGGAAAGTAAAGAAAGCCGGCGTAATTACCCACCTAGTGCCGATTGGTCTGTAAAGCTATGGGTAATCTTCCAATTTGCCTGATGCGCCTAAGGCGCAAAAAAGGATCTTTAATTTACACACACACATATATATATGTATATATATAGACACACATACACAAACAATATGTTTTAATATCATTATCATATGTGGTGTCTATGTTCTTGGAAGTCAAATAAGCAGGTGGGAAGTTGACACTATCACTCACTGGGTGCCAATTGGTCCATAATAATATAAGCGTAGCACTATATCCCTGATGTGCCAATGGCATTAAAAGGGTCCATTATTTTACAAATATCAGGGACATTAAAAACAAGATGACAAGAAACTGACTGTCATGACTGCATCCTACCTAAAACAGTCATCCTAAATTTGATAACTGACAGGATCAGAAAGGATGATATCAGGAAACAAGTTGGGCCAGAAATAGTGCTTAACTACTTCAATAGACAATGGATCAAATGGTTCAGGCATGTGACAAGACTAGCTTACGACAGCGCACCACAGGGAGTCCTGTGGCTTAAAACAAAAAGAAGCTGTCTAAAGGTTGCTCAGACAAGAAATTGACATACAGAATATCCAAGGAAGTGCATCTATGTAGCAGAGAAACCAAGGTTCCACAAGATTTCTTTTTAAACCCTGATGCTAAAAGGTAGAAGAGGGTCTAAAGAAAAGATGTGGTGTGAAAGCCCCTAATAGGCAACCAAATTAGGAAGAATTTGGAAGCAACAGAGATGTGGTTTCTGAGACGAATCTTACGAATACCTTGGACGGCCAGAGTAACTAACAACGATTGCCTGAAAGAAGCTAATGAAAGTAGATCACTATATACAACAATAAAAAAAGAGACAAACACTGTTCTTGGGCCACATAATGAGAAGAGAGATATTGGAGAACATTGGGACAACTGGAATGATCAGTGGAAAAAAGGGTAGAGGCAGACCAAGAGAGACGATGCTGGATGGGCTGAAATGATGACATAGAGAGATATCATCAAGAGAGCTGTTCCAGGCTTCCAGGGATCATGATCTGTGGAAAGACATGAGAGACTACGCCAGTTTGCAGGGCACATGCTGATGATGAATAGGCAAACTGTTTCTAGGGCAACTTTGGAGAGGTGTAGATTGATCTGTTTTTTAGCCCTGGTTATGGTGCAACAGGTAGTTAATTTCTTCTTCTCCTGTCTTCTTTTCCCCAACTGGGCATAAGCCCTCAACCCATACCAAGGTGTTCCATGAGCACGCACAAGGCTGCATAGTCTTGAGGTATAGTGTCTGCCTCAAGTGCCAGAGGTCCAGGGTTGAAGCCCCTGTAAAGTCTGCGATTTTTTCTGTTCACTTCTGTGGACTTCTAGTAATTTCCACTGGTTTCTGGGTAGTGAGATCGGAAGTCCGTGTGTATTGTTGCGCACGTTAAAAAAATCCCTTGGCAGTTGGAAATCAAAAAGAGTTGCCCAATGGCACTGCCCGGGCAAAATTTGGAGTTGAAAATCTACCCAAAATATTTCAGGATCCTTGCAGGTGCTACGGAGCCCATGCACTGCGCTGAGCTACTTCGGACTTGAGTTAGAAGTAGAACGAAGCACTTATGGGTTACTACCCATGTGCCATGATGTTGATCCACTGCTCAAACCTCAAACTAAACTATGAGCATGCAGTTTATCCCATGTCCCCCTTCCCCATCTTTTTATCTTCATTCACTCTCTAGTTCCTTTTTCCTTGTTTTATTTTTGGGTCTGCCTTTATTTTTATGCCCCTGTGGGTTTCGGTGCAAAGATATTCTAGTTATTTTGTTCTCAGGTTTTTTTCAAAGTGTGGTTAACTTCTTCATACCTTTTATGTGGCTCTAAAAAACAAAAACCATAACAGTAAGCATTCTCATAACTGCACATGGCAATAAGGCAGATTAAACACAGATTTAAACAAACAGGATGCAAAGATGCTAAATCTGTGGTGCACCAGGCACTAGCGCTCAAACTAGTTAAGACTTATCTAACCCTCTCCACAGTGGTGCTAGAAACAGGTTCCCTACTGGGACAGCCTGGCAAACATATATAGGACTGGCATTTTCTTCCCAGTCAGAGTACATCAGTCCCAGAAAAAAATCAAGAGTCTGCACAAACATAATCCAGATCTGTAAAATGGATTTGCAGGCAACACTCAAGTCTTGGAGGTTGACGGTCCAGAAGTTGACGGACAACAAGACATTTCCACATAAGTTTACAGCCCGTAAGCGCCAAGAAGATAAAGATCTGCACTGAGGCAGATGCGGATTTGAACCCAAGACCTTCAGCCAGCTGGTCAACTTCTACCATCATGATACCACAGCTCCAAGCTATGGATCTGAGTTCCGGTGTTAACTTCAACAACATCACAGAATCTGAAGGGCACCAAGAAGAAGATCTCAGAGTGGGGGGGGGGGGGGGGGGGGGGAGACAGCTCACCTTGTGTTGTGCATTCATTGAGAGTGCCAGCCAGAGGAACCACACCTTTGTCGACCTTGATACCCGGGATGATACCTTTGTTTTGTAACACCTGTGGACAAAGTCAACAGCCAATTCAAGCCTAGCTTCAGGGTCAGTCACCTTTATGGGTTACTTTAGAATGTTAAATCTTGGATTAAGAATCGACATCACAACACTCGCAACACCCCCATCAGCGTTTCGTCCCTATTTTCAGCAGCAAGCAAAGAGTTACAATCCTGATAGCATCAGTAACTGTCTGTACACCCGTCTCGCCTTTCCCTGGAGTGCTGAGCATCGGCCAGATCCACTGGTAACTCTTTGCCGCACCATTCATCTTCTATCGTAATAATCTGTGCATTCACACTATTCACTCTCTGACAAGGCACCCTTACAACATCTAGCTTGTCATACATCAATTCACCACCAAGTGGTGCAGAAACCTTCAGTCTTATCTGTCTGTTCATTTCCTAACAGACCGGCATGACATGGAGAAAATATCCAATGTGTTATCTACATGTTAATCATCTGTGTTCAACAAGACACCCTGAACAAAATATGTGAGAGCACACACATGTTGTTCGTCCATTTCTAAACTCTGGTCATGCTTTAGGACTTGAGCTGCTCGTGCATACTTGTATCCTTTCACAGACCTGGCTCATTTGTGTTCAAACAACTTTTTCAAGCCAATGATGCATAAGGCATCAAATTTTAGATTTGTAATTTGTATAGACCAATCATCCCTATATGGATGATGCCATTAACGCCATGCCGACCACCTTTACTTCCCAGGATATTATTCAGTACCCATTTTAGGGTGGGGAGTCGTCGCTAGACGCTCGCTGCGGGTCGGAAGGTCGTAGGTTCGTGCCCTGGCGGAGCCTGACTTTTTTGAAAAATTACCTTGGCTCCCAGGTTGACCAGGCCTTAAGTGCGTAACGAGTGCAGTCACGCTGACCACATCACCCATCTTGTGCCGATTGGTCTATAAAATATAGGTCTAGCCCTATGCTACAGGCGCAGAAAAGGGTCCTTTACCTTTTTTTTTTTTTACATTTAAGGCTAGGCTGACTTGGAAGCCAAGGTCAATTTTGAAAGAAAAAAATTAGTAGTGATATAAACACCACACATATATACATCTTCTTCTTAGCCTCCACTGAAGACAAACTCAGCAGAAAATTCTGGTTTTTCATCCATTTGTCTTGTTCCAAAAACTGAGTTTTGTGCGCACACCTGTTTTACACATCTGGCTTATTTATATGCATGCTGCCGGTTCCCTCCATTTCAGGTAGATGCACACAAGACTATGAAGGGAACAGACCCTAATTAGTTGCTTTGTACAACATGCTTGTAAGGGATTCCAGTGGGTCCCCCGCTTCCCACCCCCATCCCAACTCCAAAACTGAGCCTTAGAACCCACACAAGGTAGTTAATATATTACCTTCACAAATTGTGTACCATCAGAAGCAGACTGTCTGAAGGTCTTAACAAGCAAGCCACTTATCCTAGTTTTATCATTACTACAACGCGTATCATTAGTCTGTTAAATCAGTCAGGTGCTGTCTTCACAGTGAAGGTTGTCGCCAATGGATCTCCAACCCCTCCCATCCCATCCCAACTACAAAACTGAGCCTCAGAACCCACACAAAGTAGTTAATATATTACCTTCACAAATGGTGTACCATCAGAAGCAGACTGTCTGAAGGTTTCATCAAACAGAATGACACCACTGATGCTATCAGCAATTGAGTTATCTGTTGAAAACAGGAGCTCTCTGTATTTGCGCCTGTTCTCCTCTGTGTTTGTCAAACCAATTGTGTCGAAACGCTTGCCGATGGTAGCTGCAGATCAGAATAAAGGAACAGATTATAGTTACACTGTGCGGTTTCATAAAGGATGTGACACAGTGCATCTGTTTGACCAGTCAACTCTTTCTGCCTTTGTTTTCTACATTATTCAACTGTCCCTGGGTTACGTGGTTTTTCTTCGTGTCGTGTTAACTGGCTGTTTGTCCACTTCTGGACATTAGTCGACAGGGATGTTTAAGTCATGTTTCCGGACAAAAACAAAAAAAGATTTATCATTTTCATGGTGCTGAAGGACAGGGATGTTATAAGTCATGTTTCCGGACAAAAACAAAAAAAGATTTATCATTTTCATGGTGCTGAAGGACACGGATGTTATAAGTCATGTTTCCGGACAAGAACAAAAAAAGATTTATCATTTTCATGGTGCTGAAGGACAGGGATGTTATAAGTCATGTTTCCGGACAAAAACAAAAAAAGATTTATCATTTTCATGGTGCTGAAGGACAGGGAAGTTATAAGTCATGTTTCCGGACAAGAACAAAAAAAGATTTATCATTTTCATGGTGCTGAAGGACAGGGATGTTATAAGTCATGTTTCCGGACAAAAACAAAAACAGATTTATTATTTTCATGGTGCTGAAGGACAGGGATGTTATAAGTCATGTTTCCGGACAAAAACAAAAACAGATTTATCATTTTCATGGTGCTGAAGGACAGGGATGTTATAAGTCATGTTTCCGGACAAAAACAAAAACAGATTTATCATTTTCATGGTGCTGAAGGACAGGGATGTTATAAACCTCAGCTTGAAATCAGCATGGCTTGTCTGCAGGTCAGGATTTTCATTATTCAGAATAAAAACCTTATAGCTTTCTAATCTAGCTATGACACAGAAGAGAAGGACTCAAAAAATAATCCTCCCAAACACAGCAATGGATACCACATATCCACCCCAGTCAACCTTCGTGTAGAAGATCAGAGTTCTTCAGCCCATGGGCCGCAGATAAATTGTTCGTGGGCCGCTAACAAATTCTGCTTAATCATGTAATAATGTAGGGTAGATGAGTTTTTCTCTCTCCCCCAGAGTGCACTGTTAACATCTCAAAAAATTCCTATTTGTGTGAAAAGACTCTCTGGAAGGTCAATAATAAATTAAACGGAAAAAGTTAATGGATGTTACTGCAGATTTTTTTTTTGGACCCTCCCAGCAGTAGGAAATGTTGCATTACCTGAAAACTGTAATTCTGTTTTCTCAGATTTAACAAATAGACTGCTGTTTACATAGTTTTTTTTTTTTTTTTTACCGGTCAGTAGGGCCAGGAAACAACTTCCATCATTTTGGTGGGCCGCGGGCGTAACAAGGGTGAGGAGCACTATCAGACAGCACATATTTTTCATTTAAAAAAAAAGAATTAAAAGTGCAATACATACCCACTGACTCGTCAGCAGCCAGGATTCCCCTGCGCTTGCTAACGATGGTGTTGGCAATTTTCCGAAGCTCATCTTCCTTTTCTGGTGATAGATACTGTTGAAAGCGAGAGCTTGAGCCTGAAACATTGAATAAGATTATGTTAACAGAAAAGATCTATTACTTCCTAGGACTGCACCTGGTACCCACTCAAGGCTGGGTCAACCTGGGAGCCAAGGTCATTTTTTTTTAAATAGTCCGGCCACATCAGGACCCGAAACCCCAATCTTTCGATACACATGCAGCATCCAGCCGCTACACCAGGGTGACTCCTCGTCGAGTACCAAGTGGTCTATAAAAATGTGGCTCTTGCACTATATGCCTGAGGGGTCACTGATGTGAAAAGCCTTCACTACTTTTACCCAGCCTCGTTAATGGGTCATCGTGTAGCAGGTCCTTTGCAGAAGGTTGATCTCATCAGGCTCTGCTGCTTGAAAGAAACAAAATCTCTCCTGCTCCTGTAGCAGGTCCTTTGCAAAATGTTGCCCTCATCATGGTCTAGGCGGCTATCCTCCGAATAACAGTCCCAAATTATTGAGGCTAAGAAAAATACCCTAACAGGGTCTCAGGACTGCTTTCCAGCGAATATACCACAAGAAACACTCCTCCCAATAACGGTCCCAAATCCCTGAATGTGTCAACATCTCCAACGCTGATTGCTAGGTTTAACTTCTCCCTGGGTCCTAGGTTTAACTTCTCCCCGTGTCCTAGGTTTAGGGTTAGGATTAGAGTTAGGGCAACGAGTATTACACATCACCAGAATCTGTCACAACAGTGGAACCGCAACACTATCGATTGAAAGGTTATGGATGGAACTTTCGCGGACGCGGTGTTACCATGGTGGCATTAGTCGCGCGTAGTTTACTGAATATTTAGCGCAGTTTCCTGGCATCACAGACACAAACATTGAGGCCCTGTTAGGGCATTTTCTTAGCCTCAATAATTTGGGACCGTTTTTCAGAGGATAGCCGTCTAGGCCCTTTGCAGTAGTCACTCTCATCACGGTCTGCCTGAAAGAAACCTGGTCTCTCACCAGCTCTACCGCCTCGTGCACTTTCCTATTTAAGGTGTAATTTATATCCTGTGACCATCTTCTTGCAAGTCGGCCCCTTTTTTGGGCATGGCACAAAAACAGCTCATAGCATTAACTGTGTATCTCATACACAGGTCACTAGAGACAAGTCTCTGAGCAAAAGAATTAATGTGGTGTTAGGAACAATGTATTTAGTACCATTTGATACCCATGGTTCTGGGGCCCCACAGTAGTGAAAACAAGAATAGACCCACTGCCCTGCCAACAAGCATGTCGTAAGAGTCGACTAATTGGGTGCTTCCTTCAAAGTCAGAGTGTATCTGCCTGAGAGGCTAAGAACCGAAAATCAGCAAACAAGTATATCAGATCTGTAAAACAGATGTGCACGCAACACTCAGGTTCTGGAAAAAGAGTAACATCCACCACCGAGTGGGTTCCGGTGCCCCATTGTGTAAGCATGTCGTAAGAGTCGACTAACTGGGGAGCTTCCTTTGAAGTCGGAGTGCATCTGCCGGAGAGGCAAGGAACCAACAGTCTGAATTCAGGGAATGAGATCTGTAAAACTGATGCACACGCAACACTCAGGTTCTGGAGCAGGACTGCAGTTCAGTAGTGGACGAGCAACCAGAACTTTCCGCCAGAGTGTACAGCTGGTGAACGCGAAGAAGAAGTAAAGTCCAGACTTCAGAGGTGGACAAACAACCAGAAGCTGGAATTCATAGCCAGTGAACAAGTACTATTAGAAATTTGTACAGTACTTAGTCCTAAAAATGTGTGGTCTAGCAATACATTACTATTAAGTAATATATTATTAGGATGTATTATGAAAAACTTGGGGCATGTTAAAGCAACAGCCAATTTTACTCTACATATTATTATTTTATATTCGCTAGCCATTTAGTGTACTTATGTTACTAAACTTTTTGTTGAGAAGCGGAAATAATTTTTTTTTTAACCTTGATATTTAAAATTACGCTCATGCCAATCATATCTATACTAGACCTTTGTTTCAAATAATTTAAGTGTCTAGACTGGCTTCCGTACAGAACTTATCTTGAAGAATAATGCTTGATGCAACCACAAGGTCATGCACACATACACCATCTTTCGACTCTTTACGCGGTATCGCTCTTCTTGCATACTTTGATAAACACCTGTTTCATCTGAAGAATGCTCTAATTCTATTCTGTAAACTCACAATTTCGTTTAATAATGTTATCAAAATGCCAACTATCCGTTTAGTTTACTACGACGAATAAAAGAAATCCCCCAACAAAATCAAACCGGACATATCATCAGGACTGAATCTCCGCAATGCCAACCATAACTCACACGAATCAGTCACACAGAAAACTGATATTCACTCGCAAATTCTAAACAAATAACAAAATATCTACAAAATTCTGAAGTTAAACGAAATCTCTGACTATACATGAGATTAAATTGTTGAATATAACGACCTACCTGCCATGGTAGAAGTTGTTGGACTGAAAATGTTCGACGATCGTCTCGGACGAGCAGCAGAAGTGGCAGTAGTGACGTAGTAGGCCGGACGACCTTCACCTTCAGTATTGTTGGCTCCCTTTCAACCACATTTAACTTTTAATTCATCATAATTTTTGACTTTTGTTCACAAATTATCACCATAATATGCATTTAAATTTACTTTATAACTTGTTTAAGTATATAGGGTACCCGAAATCACTCTATCTTATATTTTTTATGGTAAATTTATTCAAGGTCGGGCAGTGAAGACAATGTCATCGGGTCACGTATCCTTCAGGGTTGGGGGTTATCGGCCTCAAATATCGCTAGAAACTTTATCATCATCTGTTTTAGTTTTAGTTCTATCCCCGGGGAAGGACGGCATCAAGATCTTCTTCTTCTTTTTCTGCGTTCGCACTCGAGGTGGCAGTTGTGCGTTGCGTTGTAGATTACAAATAGGCTGCTATATTTGCGCATATCGCCTTAACATATCTGATTACAGAAAATTCTTTGTTGGTCGCTTTTTGCGACATGCTAGCAAAGGGGAATTCCAGAGAAATTTGACTAAAAAGCTCAACAAAATGGGAAAGAGGAAAACGTGCACAAAACAACACAACGTAACGTTTCGGCCAGGCAGCCTTTTTCAAACACAAGGGTATGATAGCAAAGGGGAAGAAGGGATCTATCTGTATGTCTGGTTGTCTATCTGTCCGTCCGTCTGCCTGACTGTCATCCGTCTGCCTGTCTCTATATATCTGTCTCTCTTTTTCTTTTTCTTCTTCTTTTTCTTATTCTGCCTTCTATCCCCCACTGGAGCATAGGTCCCCAACCAAGTCATTCTATTTCTCGCTATTGCATGCAGCTCATCCCATTTCCTCCTCGTCTTTTTAGCTTCACTCCATAGCTTCCTTTTGCAACTGTTTATGGTCTTCATTTATTTCTCTTTGATTTCTCTCCCCTGTGGGTTCCAATGTACATGAATTCTCGCTACTGTATGATAAAGAAGATGCGGTGACGGCTCTATGGTCTCAGATGGACTGTGCAAAAGAAAACATAGGGGAATCCATACACTAAAAGACTATTTCAACCCAGAAAGGGGGGGGAGGGGTTGAGTAGAGGTTCTGGGAGATATGCAACATTAAAGGGGAAACAGAGGCGGACTTTTAATCAGCTCGCAGCTTGTACTATTAGCATGACTACTCTTCGTTGGTTACTGAAAAAGGGGACGGAGCACATGTGAGAATGTCCCGAATACACTGATGTCTTTTTTGACTGATTCATTCATTCATTCTAGGCCTAAATTGTTCTCAGGTTTCTTAACGTGTTTTCTGTCCAACGTCAGCGTCTTTTCTTCACCCATATCACCACTGGCATAGCAAGGTCAGGTGGCATCTGGTACACACAAATTTCACAGTCTCCCCGACGCCCACGAGCAGAAGAAGAAGAGGAGGAGGTAGAAGAAGAAGGAGAAGAAAAAGAAGAAGAAGAAGAACAACAACAAACCCAAGACGACTATTCAGATTTCTTTTCCTTCGTGTGTTTATATAGAAAAAAAGGGGAGGGGTGTTTACCTTTATTTCTTTGACTCTGTGGGTTCCAGTGCAAGGAAAGTCTGGGTATTTTTATCTCTTGTGTTCTGAACGTGTGTACTATCCAAAACCAACGGTTTTTTTTTTTTTTTTTTTTTTTTTTTTTTTTTGATCAACTCTTGATTGCATTTAATTTGTTGAGTTCTCTTGCAAAGCTAAATGATTTTATCATATCATTTAATTGCCCCTGCTCTACGTAAGCACCAGCTAATAAATATATATAGTTGATTAGTAAGTGTTTTAGTTTTTCTCAACACTTCTGTTCCATACAGCAGTACTGATTTGACAAAACAGAAAACAATTCTAAGTTTGGCAAGTTTGGGAGTTGGTTACCTCATCCCGTTAAACTTTACAACGACATACAACTAACCAGCAAGAACCTTTTCTTTTTCTTCATTTCTTCTTGACCCGCTTCGGGTGTCGAGGGAGATAAAGAACACGAGAGCTCAGCATGGAACCAAGAAATTATTATTATTGTTAAAAAAATTGTCTTATCCAGAGACAGATAAAAGTTCCAGCAAGAAAAATTGCTGGGATTAAACAAATGGTTCTTCACAACATAAATTCGTTACATCCGAGATCGCCATAAGCCAGTGATTCCCAAACTGCGCGCCGTGTCACCACGTGAAGCCGCGACCTCTTCACAGGGGTGCTGCGAAATATTTGAAGATACACAAGGTTTTTTTTTTTTTCTACAGACAAACAGTCATACTTTTACAATGGTTAGGGACAAATTTTAATTGGAAAAGAAAAAAAAAAAAACATCGCCGGGTAAGAAAAGTTTGGGAAGCACTGTCTTAAGCGATCTGCACTATTTAAGGTCAAATTATTTAAGCTCTTCAAGTCTAAGGAGGAAACACCTGGAAGGAACAGGCAAGAAGAACACAGCTAACAACTGGGCAGAGAACACGCTGTCTGACTCGAAGAAAGCAGTCATCAAAACCAGAGACGGCGCAAACACTAAAACTTTAGTCGCGAAAGTGACGCAAATAACCCAGACCACAAATATAGACGGAGACAGTTAGCAGCCTCGGCTGGCTAGCAGCAGTCTGAAAGTGGTCGAACTTTTATTTTTTTTTCTCAAAAGGAATCGGAATCGGAAGCTCCTCAAGTATACAAGCTCCTCCTATACACACGCCCATCTGTTATAGTGTGTTTATAGCGTGTCTCTGGTGTTATCTCTCCAAATTGTTCTTGGTCTACCGCTTGCTCTAAATTCCTCTTTCACTTGTGGTGTATGTCTTCGTTTGACATCAGTCATGCTAAACATTGAGTCCTGTCTGGGTCAAAAATAGGATTGTGCGTTTAAGGTCGCCAACGGTCCCCCATAGTTTCTCTCGCAATGTGGATCCCCTGGGCCAGATCCACAGTGTTTGCTGGGAGAGGTTAGGGCAGTACTGTAGTATGTGCTCAGGGGTCTGTATTTCTGCTCCACAATCACAGACAGCAGATTCTTTTATGCCTATCCTGTACAGATGTGCTCGAAGACCACAGTGTCCAGTCCGAAGTCTAAACGTTGATGTTTGTTCTTTCCTGTTGAGTTTGTTTATGCTGTCACTCTCTGGTCTGTAATCTCCATTTTGACTTCTCCACTCCCGCTTGAAAGACTGCTTTAGCGCTGTTTTGGTTTCCTTGTAGCTGTGTGGTGGATGAGGTTGTGGAAGATTGCTCCCAGCTTTTGCCACTCATCTGCTCTCTCATTTCCTTGAATACCACAGTTGGCTGGTATCCACTGCAAGACCAGTTCTGCTTCCTTGGAGAGTAAGCCAATGTTGGTCCTTAGATATGCAATTAGTTTGTCTTAATTTTTGCTTGAATAAATAATTTTTTAATAATACCTACATGTGTCTAATTTATCCAGTTTATTCATAGTTATCATCTGTTTCGCGATGGACTAGCTCATTGTTTTAGTTTCTGAGGATGGTATGCATTGAATATTTTTTTCAAAAACGTTACTTCGACTGCCATTAATTTTTTTCTCAGCTTGCTCACAATTCACTACTAGTTCCGTCCCCATTCGGGGCGAATTTTTTGTTATTCTAAAGCCCCACCCTGGTTGTTGCCAGGGGCTCTAATATAACCTTAATGTTGAACGGGGGTTTGGGGACCTGTCCACGGGTGATCCTCATACAAATGGTGGCACTTTGTGTCAGCGGGTGTTTATCGCTTAGTGTGATGTCCTGGTGGGGTAAAAAGTCAGTCATTCACGTTTCACATGGGTAAAACAGTACAAGTTATATTTAGCAACTAAATATTTTGTGTCGTAATGCACGATAATATTTGACAAGCATGTTTTCCTTCTTGTGGCTTTAAACTCGACTTCACAACACTTGAGGGGGTTAAGACAAATTAAGGGGAAATAAAAACGTAAAAATTTTTAAATGATAAAAAAGAGTTAGATTTCTTTGTTCTGAAAAATGATTTGAACACAGGGCTGTTGAAGTTGGTACTTTCGTACGAACTTTGTACTTTTAAAAAAATCCTTACCGAGCAAAACTACTTTTGGACATGTCAGGTGTTTTTGTACTTTTTAGAAATTTTGCATCAGTATTATAGCTGAAATATTTTGGTCATATCAAGCGCCACGACGGATTGGAAAAAATTATAGCAGAAGCATGGTACCAGGAAGGAGGGGCAGGGGCCGACCGACACGAAGATGGGCACAGGATATAAGTGACTCATTGAGTGTGAAAGTTCATGAGGCGGGAGAACTGGCAAGAGACCGAGTTTCTTACAGGCAGACTGTGATGAGAGCGACGTTCTGCAAAGGACCTGCTACATGATGATAATGATTTTAAATGCTGGCATTGTAGGCTGGGAAAA